TGGGTTTAACTCTAAATTATTTACAAGTTATATAATTTACATGCTCTAGTTTTATTAAGTTCTATGAAATGTATAAAAAGTTTTCAATTATTTTATTGAATCCAATGATTGTTTAGAAAATTAATTTTACAATAAATATGATTTTGAATAATATTTTAAAACGTTTAAATTTATTTAAACAAATCTGGTGTTTGAATTGAATAAAATCAAATCTTTAAATGACATTAAAATGTTATTTGTTTTGCTAACTCAACAGTTAGTCAAATTAATTTAAAATTTCTTTACACCAAAACGCATTTGTTAACATATTTACTTGCTTTAGATTGTGCATTTGTAATCTATAAAATACTGCAGTAGGTACATTGTTGATTTTGTAAAACAATATTTATTTTTAATCTGTTGACTGTTTGATTGCAATTTATTACAAATCTGGTTTTTTGCAGTTAGAATATTATATTATATACCTAGTATAAATTACCTAATTAATTAAAGCATAAGTTAATGTTTCTATAACATATATGAGTAAAAGTTTTGACGGTAACTTTTTTTAGAWTTTGAGTGGAGCGATAAATGTATTGGTTTTACAATAATGTTTATTTCTTTTTCTTTTAGATTCTGAACGAAGTGAAGAATGTATAGATTTTACAATGATGTGTAAACACTTTTTCTCGCTCTAAACTTGCTTAAAAGTATCAAAAGTAGCATCTTTTCTGAAAGGTAAAGTTCTCGAGTTGGTACTTTAGAGAGGTCAATATTTTTATGAACATTTAAAGTTCAAATTTTGACTAAATACGTAAAAATTACGGCAATGTTCAAATATTATCTTAGATAGAAATTCATAAAAATTTTCTTTTTAAATCTAAGATTTGAAAATTTAATAAAAGGCTCCTAACATATTTTTACAATAGCAGTTGAAAAATAAAAGAAATACATATACGCAGTTATTTWTTACAATCATTCAATATTCAAAGTTTGAATTTTGACAACATACGTAAAAATCACGAAAATTCTCAAATTATTTTCTTTTTAAATCTAAGATTTGAAAATTTTTGATAATCTATAATATTATATCCTAGACAGATAAACCGTCTCCATTCAGAATCGTTTTTCGTATACAATGATATATTATGATATAAAATCATTGGATTCAACTTTAATTCCATCCATTACTTACGGTAACCCACTTGTAACCTACTGTACAGCAGAGCGACATCCATGACTTACCCGCTTTTTTTAATTGAACTTAATATACTTTCAGCAACATAGGCCATTGGGATTAAAACTAAATAATTAATTACATAATAATTGTGCAGTTACTAAATCTAAGTGTTAATTATATTTTTGTTTGGAGCTGTTTACGGCTGTAATGAACTGGATGATATTTGCTGTTGACGTTAATTAWTGATTACTATAATATATAGTAGATATATACTATATTATAATGAAGTGTATGCTGAATGCTGAAATATACAATTTTCATATTATTATAATGTTAATTGAGAAGTTATGGCCAAATTGTTCAGTATAAATACTCAAAACTCAGTGTCAGCTTATTCAGGTTGTTCATCGATTCATTTTCTGAATTAATCCATTATTGTTTACTTAATACAGTTAATAAATACGTATTTATATATTTGTATATAAACACCATTTGTTATACAATTAAGTTTCAATTATTTTTGATTTGTTTTTATGGTTAACTGTAGGTAAAATGATAATGGATTAGAATATTTTCACGTACCTATATAGTGTTAAGGAAAAGGAGTACCTAGGTATATACATTCAACTGAAACCAAACAAATATTTAATAGCTAATACAGGAAGTATAAAAATAAAAGTTATTTTTTGAATAAGAATATGTATTGTATTAAGAAAACAAGTCAAACTTATAATTCAGAAGTTTTTTTTTATGAGTAAAAAAATTTAAAAAAGTATTTCAAATAATATTTGATGTAGGTATCCATGTCTATATCTTAGTTGGCATATAGTAAGTCTATAGACTATATAATTA